TTCTTGTATGAAATACCCAACTAAGACTGGATTTTTTTTTTTTTTTAATCTACAGCTGCAATTTCTTTAAACCTGTGTGTCAGTGGGTAAATTTATAAAATATAAACAGTTACATGGGGTGGTAAATGGACCAGGAGTCGACTGGAGAGCTTGGACCAGAGACTTCCCTGTAAGCTCCTGTGCTTCCTGTAATTGTGCTGAGGTGATTAATCGTATGTACTAGAGTTCCAGCTTTTAAATCAAACAGACCTGGGTTAAAATCTGGCTGTTTTTACTTACTAGTCATGTGACCCTCGGCAAGTTACTTAACTATTCAGAGTCTTATTTTCCTCCTGTACATACCTATATCATGAGGTCATTGAGAAGATTATATGACATAATGCATGTAGAATGTTCAGTTTTATGATTAGCACAGAGTTACACTCAAGAAATAGTTGCCAGTATTAGGAAAAGCACTGTAGCATAGAGGTTCAACACTTTATCTCTGAAGCCAGGGGCGCCAGAGTTCGGATCTAAGCATCTCTTTCTAGCTGTGAAACCTCAGGCAAAATATTAGTGTTTCTAAGCCTCAGTTTTCTCATCTGTAAAATAAAGATAGGTGTCCCTGTGTGGTGCAAACAGTTAAGCCCTTGACTACTAGCCAAAAGGTTGACAACTCGAACCCACTTAGTGGCGACTCAGAAGACAGGCCTGGCAATCTGCTTCAGACAGGCCACAGCCTTGAAAACCCAATGGAGCAGCTCTCCTCTGCACACATGAGGTCACCATGAGTTGGAATCGATTCGACGGCAATTAACAACACACCTCAGTTTTCTCATCTGTAAAATAATATTCCTCTTTCATACTGTTATTGTGAGGTTGGAATGAAATAAAGACTTTAAAGGGCTTAGCATGGTACCTATCTCAAGGCAAGAGCTCAATAAATGTTAACAATAATATTTTGAGATACCTAACCCAGAAACTTGGAGAGAGTTAACTTTGTTGCGCTCCTTCTCTTTCCAAAGGGTTCAACCTTTAGAAGCAAGATGAAGAGGAGCTTGGGGAAGTGTTCCAAGGTACTAAGGAAATAGCTGATTATCAAAATAACTACAGGGATGATTTTCATAAATTATAAAGATACAGTAGAGTGTAAGGAGACAGCAAAGCATAGTTGCACAGAATTTGCCATCAAACTACTAGGGTTCAGAAACCAACTCTTCTGCTTATTAAACTGGCAACTTTAGACAAGTTAATCTCCCAGAGTTTCACATTCCTCGTCAGTAAAAATAAGGTAATAACACCTGCTCAAAAAGTTATTTTCAGCATTAAATAAGATAATATACGCAAAGCACTCAAAGTTTTTAGGGGAATGTATAAGTAAAATATGATATAAGAACACCAAGGAAGTCCATAACAAAATAAGAAGTAACAAACTAGATTATCCTGCAAACATGGACAAATCATAAAACTATAATATGAGTGGAAAAAGGAAAAACAAAATTGGATTTCTAGTACAATACCATGTATGTAAATTTCAAAACATACCAAAAAAACATTATATCTTTTAAGATACATATATTTCTAAATAAATATGAAAGAATACAAGTTATGTGTGAGTATGTATATATGTGTGCATGTGAACTTATGAATAAATATATATATATATACATATTTAGAGTGAGAGAGAATACACTAGAGAGGACACCAGTGGAGAGCAGGGGAAGGGGTGGGGATGAGGAAGATGGAGGGAAAATAATAAAACAAAATAAAGAAGGACCTTGTCCTGAACAATGGCGCTGGTTTTTCAGGAATTGGGGAATATGCTTAGTTCAATTCTAGACCTGACATTCCATAAGATTATGTTTAAGTAACTGTAAACCAATTGAAATCATGCTTGTATATTTTAGATACACAATAATTAGTAGCTAAAGAGATGGATTGACACAGTGGCTGCAACACTGGACTCAAACACAGCAATCATTGTGAGGATGGTGCAGGACTGGGCAGTGTTTCGTTCTGTAGTACATAGGGTTGCAATGAGTCCGAATCAACTCAATGACACTTAACAATGACAACAAACAGTATGCATTTTTGACTATTATAGATGTTTAGAAAATTATTTCAAGAGCCTCATTTAGCCCATATTAAGTAGACATACAAGTTCACAGATGTGACAGACATACATTAATGATCATATAATCTAGTCCCACCACTTTTCAGAGCAGAAACTAAAGCCCAAAGAGGGAAAGAAAACTTTTGAAGGTTTTCCAGCTAGTTAGTGTCTGCCCTAGACATGGCAGCCATGGAGCTTGACCATACCAACAGAGCCTTCCAAAGGAACTAACTCATCCCCAGACCCTGCTGCTGGAGTGAGAAGGGTGAGGAAGGGGAAGGTGAAGAATAACCCTAGGAAGCCATGTTTTATGTGCTATATGACCACTGATTAGAGCTGGAGGAGGTCCCAGACTCAAGAGCAGCTTTCACTAGGCCGGGCAGAAAGTGTGTGCTGCTCGTCCCTCTACCACATAGAGATTAAAGCTATCATGATGATTCTACAGATGCCTGGCCTGGTTGGGGACTTCATCACAAGTTCTGATCCTCTTGCTGGAAGGTCCCAGAGGAATTAGGCTTCACAAGGGAGAGAAGTAGGACAGTTGTTTGTGGAAACCAGAGGAACTGCCTGTTATACCCATGTCTACAAACAACTAATTCTTTGACATTTTTACTTTTAACCTTTCTGGGTGTCAATTTTCTCACCCAGAATAATGAAAGTGTCAATCATGTCCACTTCACAGGGGTGTGGAGGCAATCACAGACATTCGCAGACATCCATAGATATAAAAATGTATAAAAGTATAAAGAAGAATTATGAAGTTTTTATTACTATGGATTTTATCAAAATGGCAATCCTCATGTTACTACAGCAAAGAAAATTCCTAGTTGTGTTATATGCGAAGGAGTTTCTTAATAATCCAGTTTTGATATTCACAGATTCACCAGGGTTTCTGGATGACATAACGTGGATAGTTATGGGTTTGGTTATAGATCGAAGGACTCTGAATTAGCAAATTCTAACCTGAGAAGGTTGGGGAGGTGTTACTGAGGACGCCAAGCAAACAACCCAGGGGGAGAAGTTTAGGGTAATGGAGTCAGGAGACTTGAGTATGGACCCTCAATCTACCACTAACCCATATGGAGGTCAAAAAATAGCTTTACATGTCTTGTCTCAGTTTCTCACTTACAAGCAAGTCTTATGTCACCTGTTCCACAGGATTATTGGGAAGAATCCATAAAATATTGTATGTGGAAGTTTCTGGTACAGTGGAGATGTCTTTGAAGAAAGGTCATATGATTCTGGGTTTCCATTCACTTGGACCTGAAGCTCTTTAAGAGGGATCCTAGATGGGCTTGGAATGTGAACAGCAGCAAGTATGCAGTACTATAATGTGACTTAAGATCATGTCATATAACAACATCAAATTTTAGGAAATGAAAAAAAATGCCAAGACTCAAATATAAAGCAAGTTAACTATGGCATTATTATTTTGAGCAATTGGTAGAGCATGAGAAAAGAGCATTCATTTGACCTGATGTTTGAAAGCGTCTTCTAGAAGTAGCAGAGGTTAAGGGACATTTTTTCTCTACGTATCCAATCGCGCTATTTAGTCTTGCAGAAAATATCATTTACTATTTGCAGAATCAACCCATAGACAGAGTATAGAAGACTTAACCAGAACAGGAGGCATTGTTAAATGAATAGGGTGTTTTTAATAAGTGGAGCAAAGAGGAAGAAAGAGGAAAGAATGATGGAATAAACTCTTCATCTTACTCACTGAGACGCTAGATTTACTCACTCAATTATTGCAACAAAGTAGAGATGCAAATATATTATTTAAAGATATAAAGATAATCCATAGAAGATCTAAAGATAGCAATGTAATAAAGTTTATGTGAGGGAAATTCATTATCTTCCAGAACAGGAAGTCAATACATACTATCTAAAATTGATGATGATAGAAGCAACAATAATAATAGCTAACATTATTTAGCTCTTTCTGTGTGCCACGCACTGCTCTACATCTCTTAGAGTTATTCACTTATCTAATACTCAAAACTGCACTGTAATGTAAGCATATTTTTTTCATGCTACGGATAAGGAAATTGAAGCACAAAGGGGTTAGATAACTTGCCCAATGTCACACAACTGTAAGGTAGCAAGGCCACAAGTTTGAACATATTTGAAATCATGGTATTATAAATAACCAAAAAAAAAATTTTTTTAATACAAGATATTGAAGAAGATGACCTCTGAGCCGGGATGGTAAATACTAAAATGGAGAATGACTTTTAGTTTTCATTTAATACCATTCTAACTGGTCTTTTTTTTTTTTTTTACCATATACCTGAATAATTATATACATAATAAGAAAACTGTATCAATGTGTAATCAGAGGGAATAGTCAACATCAGGAGCAGATACTTCATCTTCCAACTTCTGAAAGTCTTTCAGAAGAAGGGACTAGAATTGTTGTACTGTGTAGAAGGGCTAAAAGACTAAGGCCAACGTGTGGAAGGTGCAGGGAGAGAATGTGGTCTATGAAGAGAATTAACAGATGGAGCTGTCCAATGATGGAGCCTCACACAGTAACTGGATGATCACGTGATAAGTATGTGGTAGAGGAGACGCCAACATTAGATGGGGATTAGAATAGATGCTATCTGGGTCGCTTACAAATTTGAAAGTCTATGGGTCTCTTATCGTCACAGGAATTTCCAAATATGAGCCAGAATTAATCTGAATAAGAATACCAGCTTAAGGCCCAGCTTCATAAAATGCATAAGAAGAAAGTAGATGTCCAAGGAAAACCAACCAGGTACAGGATTTCTGAAAAGCAAGTTCTAGAAGTTGGCCAGAAATATAAATCTAACTTCCACCACAGAGAGAAAAAATCTGTCCTTCAATTCTGGAGTTGTTTATTTACGTCATTATTTTCCTTAGACCAATAGTCTACATTGAACCCATGGCCAAGAATAATCTCACCACAGTAACTGAGTTCATCCTCATGGGCTTTACCAACCACCCCAAGTTAGAGGTTCCCCTCTTCGTGGCGTTTCTGAGTTTCTATCTAGTCACCCTTCTGGGGAATATGGGGATGGTCATTCTGATCCAAGCAGATGTCCAACTCCACACCCCAATGTACTTCTTCTTGTGTCATCTTTCCCTCTTGGATGCTTGCTACTCCTCAGTCATCACCCCTCAGATCCTGGCCACACTGGCCACAGGCAAGACAGCTATCTCCTACAGCTGCTGTGCTGTCCAGTTCTTTTTCTTCACCATTTGTGCAAGTACAGAGTGTTTCCTGCTGGCAGTAATGGCCTACGACCGCTATGTCGCCATTAGCAACCCACTGCTCTACACTGTGGTCATGAATCCCAGAATCTGCTGGAGTTTGGTGGCAGGAGCCTATGTCTGTGGTGTGTCAGGGGCCATACTGCGTACCACAAGTACCTTCACCCTCTCCTTCTGTGACAACAATCAGATCAACTTCTTCTTCTGTGATCTCCCACCCCTGCTGAAGCTCACCTGCAGTGACACAATAAACATTGAAATTGTCATTGTCTTCTTTGGCAACTTTGTGATCTTGGTCAATGCTTTGGTCATCCTAATTTCCTATCTACTCATCATCAAGGCTATCTTGAGGATGAAGTCTTCAGGTGGCAGGGCCAAGACTTTATCCACATGTGTCTCCCACCTCACTGCTGTGACCTTCTTATTTGGGACCCTCATCTTCATGTATCTACGGAGCAGCTCAGGCAAATCCCTGGAAGAAGACAAGGTCGTGTCTGTCTTCTACACTGTGGTCATCCCTATGCTAAACCCTCTGATCTACAGCTTGAGAAACAAGGATGTGAAAGCTGCCTTCAAAAAGATCACTGGGAGATTCCAGGTGTCCCAGAGCATGTAGATCTGAGTAGGTATACCTCTCACCTTAGTCCATTTTCTTCCCCATATCTACATATTCTAATAGGTATCAACACTATATGCAACCTGTACCCAAAAACAGAGAAAAGGTAGACAGATGCCACTAGGCACACAAACAAAACTTCAAATGTGGTGAAATTTGTTTCCACCAATCCTATAGTATTTTCTTCCTTTTCCCCTCTCCCACTCCTAGTCCATCCCTTCCTCTCTAAGCACCCAGAAGTCTCATGCTACTCTCCAGCATCATAGCTTATAGAATCTCAGGGGTCCAAGGGGTGTTGAGTTTATCTCATCCCACCCCAACAGTTTTTGAACCTATGCTTGGTTTCCCCATCCCCTCCTTCTTGTTTTTGCTCCCATTGATTCTGCCTTTTTCACCATGTCAAAGATTATATCTGGAGATCCCTGTGAATCACACATTGTTGTTCTTTTAGTGTAACTAATCACCCCAGTAAACAAGGAGTATTGCATAAGACAAAACTGAGTCTGTAACTGGCCAGGGGAAGAAGGTGTTTGAGAAACAGGCCTTCCTCTTGATCATTCTAGAGACTCAGGTTACCTGCTTGGAATTTCTTCCTTCTTACTCAGTCCAGAAAAATGGCAATTGCAAATTGCTTTCCCATTTGATCACTCGCTGGTTTTGTTGTTCCTGCTTTAGTATTTCTCTGATATCTTCATGATGTACTAAGCCAACATCCCCTCAAGGGCCAACTGTCTAGTTTCTGAAGGACTCGACGTCTTGCTTCTTTTCTTCACCACTGTTGCCTGCCTGTGAACATTTCTCTTCTATGAATCACCTTTTCAGGGATGGCAAAGTCAGAGTGTAAAGACAGCTATAAAGAGAAAAGTAAAACACATATTACGTTCTCTAGTGAAAGATTTGGTGAGAGGGGAAAATAATTCTAACTCCCCCATCAAAACCCTTGAGAGAAGATTGTTTTCTTCATTGCTGTACCCACTCCCAAGTCCGGAATCTAGATCAGATTTTATCTCAGTAATTGTTTTTGAAAGGACTTTTATGGCACATGCATGATCTCATTTGAGCCCTGTGGCAATTCTCCAAGGCAAATAGGGAAGACGTGGCTAAATACAAAATTCCCATTTTATAGGTAAAAATACTGACATTCTCATGGTTGAAAGAGTGCTCAGAGTATACGGCAGTAGACCTGGCATGGATTTTGGAGTCACCCTGTATCTGAATCCTGATTCTACCCCTAATTCACTGTGAGACCTGGGGCAAATTATTTAATTTCTCAGATCCTAAGTTCTTTCATGCATAAAATAAAGATAACAATATCTAACTGAAGAAAATGTTAAAGAAGATGATGACTAAGAAATCTCCTAGGTGCTCTTCCCTTCCCTTCTTCCACATTCTGATGTCAACCATAGGACCTTGCCATAGACAACCGTAGGTCCATAGCCATAGACAAAAATAAAATAGATCATGGATCAATGACAGTGAAAAGCAATGAACTGAGGAAGATGAAAAATGCAATCCTTTGCATCTAAGTTACAAAGGAAAAGAAATAAGACAAATTTAGGTGTTTAAGGAGTGCATTATCTTCACCTAACATGGTTAATAATAACAAAATAATTTTTTATTATTGAATATATTGTTTTATGCCCAATGATCCCTTCTATCCAACCTTGATTTTATGAGAAGTTGATTTTCCCTGCTTCTGCATATGGGAAAACCATTTCATTAAAATGACCCACCATCCTGCCTGTGGTTGATTGGTTCAGAAATAAGCACCTGATCTATATTAGGTTAATAAAAATTTTTCACTGGGCCTTTTGAAGCTGAACGCATAAAACAAACTCAGAATAGAAGACCAGGTTCACCAAGGTAGATGAGTCATGTGAGACAAGAATGAAGCAGATGTCCAAAGAGAATCTGCAACAAAATACCAATAGATTGTCCTGACTGGTTCCAGTTCTAGCTTCCAGTCGTACTGGGGAGCAGCCACAGTAATTTTTCTTGCTTCCTTCAGAGACACTGGGATCATAAAAAAAAATCCTTTTTTTTTTTTTTTTTGGCTGATTCAAATTTGGTTTTGTCATCAGTTTCAAAGGAGTTCATACTGATACAACTCTAATGGAGAGGGACTCTTCAGTGTATTGTGGCAGATCTGCCCTGGTTAACACTGAATAAACAGAGAGGTACCAGTTTCTTCCATATTTCTATCATAGTCCCAATATAAGAGAAGTTTTCTTATGCATAGCCCTTTGTTTAAGTAACTGCTGTTCTAGCACTTGACTTTGCCCTTCACAGAACGTAATTCCATGGAAGCAAAGAATTCTACTTGGTTTAGGTGCACAGATACTCAATAAACAGCTCTTGAAAAGTATAAAGAAGACAAACGAATAAGATTTCCATTTCTGGAAATTTGATGGACTAGGATTTTCTGACCAACCTTGCCCCTGAAAAACAAGCAAAAAAAAAAAAAAAACAGTAGAAAAGATACTGAAAAATCAAAGGCTAAAATCTAAGGAAAATGAGAACCCCAAAAAGTAAGTAGAGTGTTGAAGCTGTGTTTGCCATTGACAGCACTTGACTATCAGGGTGTCTTAGTTGTCTACTGCTGTTAAAACTTGGAAGCGTAAAGAAACCAATGTTTATATCTCACAGTTTCTAACGGTCAGGAGTGCAGGCACAGGTTAGTTGGGTGTCTCTAACTCAGAGTCTCTCAGTCAAGGTGTTGATCAGGGCTGCAGTCATCTTGAGGCTTGACTGAGGGAGAATCCACTTCCAAGCTCACTCATGTTGCTGTCAGCAGGTCTTTGCTGCCTGTTGGCCAGATATATCAGTTCTTTGCTATGTGAACCTCTCACAACATGGCAGCTGACTTTCCTCAGAGTGGACGCCCACTCAGCCCACACTCAAGAGGTGGAAATTACCCAAAGACATGAATACTAGAAGGCAAGAATCATTTGGGGCCATCGTAGAGGCTACTACCACAATCTGCCTTCTGACCTCAAATGATTCATGTTTTTAGCTAGAATTAGGTATACAGCTAAACTATTTTTCCCAGCTTCCTTTTCAGCTAGTTGTAGACATGTGACTGAGTTTTCAGCTAACAGAATGTTTGAATAAATGATGTACCACTTCCTGACCCATGAAAACATGTGAACAGCCATGCTCTTTACCCCTCAGCTAGCTTGAGATAAATGAGCAGTAGTCTTGAAGTCATATGTTGTAAATGGCAGAGACACAAGATGGATAGAGCGATGGTCTCTGAATCACCCTTGAAGAAGAGGTTGTCTCAAATCAGGAACACTTGTTTTGTACATTATATGAGAGAGAAATAAACTTCTATTGTTTAAGCCACTGGTATTTTGTGTTTATTTGTTTCTGCAGGTAGCGTTACACTAACTAATTCAGAAATTGATATCTCAGAGTGGAATAGTACCATAGCAAAAAATAAAAATAAGAAATATTTAGATGATAGATAGACAGATGGACAGACAGACAGACAGGTCTATAGGTAGATAGACAGACAGATAGACAGACTGACAGACAGATATATAGACAGATAGACTTAGCAGATAGAGCAGTAAGAAAGAAAAATAAATATTTGAAGTGAGAAATGCACCTCAGGCAGTGGCAGAATATTTAGTAAAACTGTCACACGTGACCACTTTGAAGGAAGACCATGTGCATACTGAGCCTATAGCTCTAGAGATTCAAAAAAGCCAATCTGTTGGTGTGTTTGGGCGTTGTTCTGCTGTTAGTTGCCATCAAGTCAGCCCCCGACTCATGACAACCGTTACAGAGTAAAACTGCTCCATAGGGTTTTCTTAGCTGTGATCTTTACAGAAGCAGATCACCAAACATTTCTTCCTCAGAGCTGCTGGGTGGGTTTGAACCACCAATCTTTAGCAGCCAGTCTCAAACTACTTGAGCCACCAGGCTCTCTGTTTGGGTTAATACAAGAAGAGACAACCTCAGACAATAATTGGCTGAATTTTAAATGGAGAGCAAAAGGAATGAAGAAAGTCCAAAATTCAAGGACCTTGTAAGACTGGAAAAGGTGATTATTTATGGACCCAAAGAAATGAGACAGCAATAAAGGCCCAGTAAACTTCCCAGTTGAACAAAGTAGCTCAGCCTTGCAGAAAATAACAGATTATGGTGTTATCTTCCCACCCAGCACTATTTTTTTCTTATGTAAATTAAAACTGCCATTAAATTGAGAGAAAAAGTATAAGGGCAAGGAAGCAAAGAAATAGTTTTGAGAAAAAATACTAGGAAAGAGCATTGGGTATGGTTACCCAATCATTAACAAATTAATCAGAACTTTATCAAGTGTTTGATGGAATGTTATTGCCAAAGATCCATAAGCTTAATCCGTAAAAGCCTGTGACTGTTCAGAAAACTTTATATAATCTTCAGGACCCATATCTGCTCAGACTGTGTAAACTGCACATCTTCCAAGGAGGGAACATTCCCCAATGTCTGCTTCAGATATGATCATGGGGGATAATAGAAAAGAGAGAACTCTACAGATTGCAGAGTCAGGAGCCATGAAGAACAGTTGACAGGGGAAACCATTGAACACAGCCAGGGTCTAATCAAAGACTTTCCACATTCCCAGAATAAGAGGTCTCTGTAATGCCTTTGGAAGCCCTGGTGGCGTAGTGGTTAAGAGCTATGGCTGCTAACCAAAAGGCCAGCAGTTCAAATCCACCAGGTGCTCCTTGGAAATCCTATGGGGCAGTTCTACTCTGCCCTATGGGGTCGTTATGAGTCATCACTGACTCGATGGCAACAGGTTTGGATTTTGTTTTGTTTTTTAATAATGCCTGTAATAAAGCCCTGGTGGCGCAGCGGTTAAAGCACTTGGCTGTTAACCGAAAGGTCGCAGTTGGAAACTATCAGTTGTTCCACAGAAGAAGGATGTGGCAGTCTGCTTCCGTAAAGATTACAGCCTTGGAAACCCTATGGGGTCATTCTACTCTGTCCTGTAGGGTTGCTATGAGTCA